TAAAAAGAAGCCTAAGACGACATAAAATAGAGAAGTATACAATGTAACAGATATACATTTACGGAATCAAAGGATGCCAATTATCGTTTATTAGGAAAGGATATCTGAAAAATCATTTGATGAACATTCATAACTTTACATTAGGTAAAGCACGACAATACATCTTGTACAGTGAAAGAGGCGGTGCAAATAGCTTTAAACAAATGATAGAAGATTTTTATGTAAACCATATGAGGGTCGGCATGACATTAACAATAATGACGTGGTTTCAGTTGAGATTGGAACAGACAATGAAAAACAGAAATCTGACATATATAGTGATATTTCGAGTGATGAATTAGAATTTAATGACAATAATATTAATATTGGTCCAGACCCAGATGTCAGTATTAATTGTGATGACTGACACTAAATCAAACGGTGAAAACGATGCTAGTGACGAACATTCCAGTGATGAAAATACCATGAGTGATGGACTCTTAAAGAATGACGTAAACATTAATGATGAGCCTACAAACAGTAAAAATGACAGTAGACCTGGACATGTTGAAGATGAAATTAATATAAAGAAAATAATTAATATCAGTGATTACCAATCTTAGTTTTTAATGGTTTTATATCATAAATTTAATGCTTAAAAGATTTATCAATATTGTAAGTTCCAAAAAGCATTATTTGTAAAGATATTACAGAATTTACATTTCATGTTAATACAGGAGGGTTATTAGAAATTTATTTTCTATTTAAGTGTTAGTCAAATTTTTCAATAAGAAATGAATGCATATACATGTATTTTAATGATTAAATAAAATGTGGACAAGTATTTGTAGTACATATTTTACATATTCTTCGTCGTTTGAAAATCGTTTTAAAAAATTTTATACAATATAAAAAATTTTTTACTTAAAGTAGCCCTCCGGTTAGGGCCCAATAGGTAGGGTTGACTGTTTTTGGGAACGGGCGACCCGGGGTTCAATTCCCCGGGCGGCGGGAGGTCCCCTTTGTTTTGGATTGATCAGGAAAAACCTTTCTACGGTCATTCGCCCCTGTACCTTTGCCTGGCCAAAATACAGAAAGTTTCAGTTTTTTGCCCGGGAAGGGGAATGGGAACTGGGACTGGGAAAATGCTTGACAGGCCCGCTCAGAAAATCGGGGAAGCTTTTTCGTTTGGAAATTTCCTGTGTTCCTGAAAAATGAAAAATTTACACGGCCCTCCCCAAAACAGGGCCCGGGGGCTTTTTTCCCAGGATTGGTTTTATAATATACTACTTAAAATTTGGGAAAACAAGAAGAGTATTTTTTTACCTACTCATGTTTTTAAAGTCAAAATATTAATTTATTTCGTTCTTTTATAAATTTTAAAGGGAAATTTTTCCCATTTAAGGTTTTTTTGGAAATTTTTTTTTTAGTAATGTTTTTTTTAAAGGATATGAAAATTGGGGGTTTTTTTTTTTTTTTCCCCCTTAAAAAAATTTTTGAAAAAACTATTTTTCCCTTTTTTAGGGGAGTATGTTACCCAGTGTTTTTTCCAAAAGAAAGTTTTTGGGACCATCCCGTTGCAATTTCTCCCTTGGCGGCGGGGCCGTGGAATGGTTTTCCCCTCCGTTTGACAAAGGGGGGGCACCAAACTCCTGGGTGCTTTTTTGGCTGGGCCCCGGGCGGGCCCAAATACGGACCTGTAGTCATTCCATTTCATGCACAATGGCCCCTTAAACGGGGGCCGGGGCCCGTACAAAAAAGAGTAATTTTCTTGGGCCTTTTCCAAAATACTCTTGGGAAAAATTGGCTGTTATTGGGGGGGGGCCCTTTTTCAAACCATCAAAATGAACCATTACCAATTGCACCCCCAAACAACCCCTTTTCTAAATGTTGAGGGTCTTTGACAGCGGGGTCCGTATACATTTTTCTTCTCAAACGCAGACCAATTTAAAGCCAAAATTGTAAGTATGGTTTTTTTGTTTGACACAAAAGCACCCTGAAGCCATTTTGAAGGTCAGAACGAATTTGGGTTTTGGAGTTGCAAACGTTTCTTCGTCCTGGATAACCAAAAAAACACCTCAGTCTCAGTAGCACAAATTGTTCTGCACCAAAAATGTTTAACGGGTGAAACCGTGCTGTTGGAACCCGGCTCGGGTGATAAACGAAATGGTCCACACCAAACCTCACCCCCTCAGATGTTTACCCCTGCTCACCATTGCTACTCCCTGCCACCCCTTTCTTTCTAATAAATGCCTCCTAATATTTGCATTTGCCATTATTCAATCTTAAAATTTAAATAAGCAAAATAAAGAATAACACCATACACGTGTCGGTACGTATTTGCTGTGTCTAATTAAATTGAGAAAGATTATCAAAATACAGAGTCACCTTGTTCGCATTACTTAGCACGTGAAAATGGCCTGTCATTCAGGTTATTTGAAAACAGGTTTCACTCTCGATACATTACGTATGTAATTTATGTAATATAATTGACGTGTTCATGCCATTTTTCCATCTTCACTTAATGTAAGTCCAAGGGGTTAATAAGTTTAACATAAGTTAATCAGCTATTTTAAAAGAGATGGACATACATGTACTTCTATGTTATCTGGAATATATTTTAATAAGCTACTTTTGAGACCATTCTTGAAGAGTATGTCGATCAGTATTTAATGTATTGTCTATAAAATTCATGCTGGTAGAAGAAATTGACAACGAACTTTCTGCAAAGAGGCGGCTTAATAGATTACCAGCAATATAATTTACAATGAATAGAAAAGGCAAAAGGACCCGGACCGGATCCCTGAGGGATGCCCGCAGAAGTTAGTTTCTCACTCGAGAAAGTTGAGTTTACAAAAACATTTTGGTGCCGATTTAAAGACAGTCGCTCATTCAATTTAAATTCATCAAAAACCGTATTGGCGTAATTCAAAGATAAACCTTTCTGTGCCAAACCCTCTCAAACATTTCGAAATATCACAAAAGATCACACATGTAGATTGGATTTTTGTCAAAAGCCTGAGTAATTCGATGATAACGAACGGTAGAGTGACAATGTAAAATCCCAAACTCATGAATGAGTATAATCAGCTTATTAAGGTGTAAATGCTCAAACACTTAACCCATACACAACTTAATGAGAAATTGGTCTATAATTCAAAGGTATGTTTTACTGCCCTTTTATATCATGTTGCAAATGTTGATGAGTTAGGGTAGAGATCTATTAAATTAAATGCTTAGTAGAGCACTGACAAAATATCTTGCTTCTTTTAGCATTCTATGACTAACTTGCATTGTTGTTAAGATATCACTTATTTCCTGATGGCGTATTTGTAAATTATTTAGAAATAAAGTCGTCTGTAAGAGATAAAGTTGAGACTGAATCAAAATAATCGTTGAGACAATATGTCTTTTCTAGATCGGCGAAAAAGATGTAATTCATTAGGCGAATTTTCTAGTGGAAGAATACTCTCACAACCGTTGTTTGTTTCATTAACATTTTTTTCAGATTTTCAGGATTGCAAAGGGTGGTTCTTGTGTTTGGCTAATAAATAACCATTTAGAAACTATAACAGGGCTCCAAAAATAAAAAGCTATGGAAAAGTAAAATAAGTAAGATAATAAAGTAATTGAATAAAATGTTCTTAATAAAATATTGTTTGCTATTTCAAGTTGTTTTTTTAACCGTTTATCAATGATTTTGTGCAGGTGCCATTTGGTAAGAAAGAATTATAACAGATAACGAACAATTTAAAATATTTATTTACAATACACTCAGATAAATACCCCTTACTATGCAATGTGACAGGAATGATTAAAATGTTATCTACCTTTGTATATGTTTACAACTAGATCTATGCATGCCTAACACTACAAATATATCACAACAAAAACAGTAAAAAACAAAAAATTTCACAAGATGAAGCATAATTACGAATACTACCGTAATAATCTATGATAAGACTGTTTAATATAGATAGGTACAAAATAAAAAAAAATGATTTTAATACACGCTACACTGCATTAAAATACCATGCAAGGGACTGACATGAGGTTGTCTTTTAGTAAGATGGTCTCTTAATAATATTTGGTAAATTTTGAACGAAAACAATCCTTTGTTCCATGTGGGTACATGAATATTGTACCATGCTTTTAATGGCATTGGCATAACAAAAGTGAAAAAAAATGAATAAGGAATGCCTTTGGTATATTTCGATGTATAAAATGAGTATACACATTCATTGTAATCATTTCAATGAATTATTAAATTAAAAATCACCAATCTTTGTTTATTTGATAAAAGAAACTTTATTTACAACAATACCAAGAGGTTTATTGAATCCATCGATAAGTACAGCGCATACTGACTAATGATAAAAAGTCTTGAACATATTTTGCAGAAAAAAGTCATTGCGTTGTGACAATTGCTTTATATGCTTTCAAGTTTAAGTTTAAGTTTATTGTAATTCATTTCATAAGGAATGTTCATCATTGACGGTCAGTGTCGCTGCAAATTTGACCTTTGCGGTCAGTGCGGCATCATAGACGTTAATAGCATTTATAAAATATACACTAAAATTCACAATGTACATATAATTTGTAAGGTACAATTTAAACAAATTTGGGCATAGATAAACAAATCGACAAATAATATAATTACTTGATATTTATACTATATAAACTATAATTACATAATTACAGATGTGAGTCACGGCGCACGTCAAGACGACATCATGCTCTGATTACCGCTCCTTTCTAAGAGTACTTCTCTCAGTGGCATTCAAAGAATTCAAGATACTGTGTATCTTTAAAGCATTGTTAAAACTGGCTTAAAACTATCTGTTTAAATGGCTCTGTGATAAACAATATGAGATTTGACGCAATTCCTCACCATACTCGAACGGCATTAGTAACAAATGAAACAAATGGCAACGAAAGAGATCAATAATCCTCCCTATCCTTATTTTTCGTCATTTTTATTTATTTATTTATTTTTTACTTCTGTCCATGCCATTTTATTAACAAGTTGCTCGTGATATGTTTCAAAACTGTTCTGTCCGGGAATAAGATGTATAGTCATTTCATGATCAGTACAAAACTGGATATCTGCCTGATGCGATACATATTCTTTGAACGTTGCCTTTTATTATATGTTTCCATTTACTTATTTTTCATTCGGTTTTACATCATTGTCTCTCTTTCCGTAATGATGTCATTATACATGTATTAGCAAAGGTAGTCAACATGATATTTTGTAGACCGATAGTTACAAAAAAACTAGTACATAATATATTAAAAATATACAAATAACTAAATGCAAGTATTTTGATGTGCCCCAGAATTCAGCTGTGTATGAAAAAAAAATGAGAATTTAAAAGTAAACGTTACTTGAGTATATATTTTACAAATGACTTATTGTGATATAAATGACTAATTATGATAACTGCAGAAAATGTGTATTATGTTACAGCGCATTTAATATCTGAGAAAAAAAAAACAAAACAAAACAAGAGTTTTACACGTTTGCAATTAATGTTCAAATCATTTCACTTAAATCTATTCTCAAAACATAAGTGACAGGATATTATCGATGTAGCCCCCAATTGATAATTAACAAGGTTTCAAAAGGGCAAAAACGTAACATGTTCGCTTGATGGAATGGTCTGTATGCAAATGTAACGTCAATGACGAAAACTAGAAATCCCATTTTGAGATACAAGAAACCAAACTATGTCAATAGAAACACAAGTGTGGGAACTAGAATCAAACTTTGAGATGTAAAGATACAGAATAACGTCAATAGAAATTCAAGGGAGGAAACACTAGAATTTCCCTTTGAGATGCAAAGACACTAAACTTTGTCAATAGAAACTCACACTTCGATATGCAAAGTCAAGATACCGAATTATGTCAACAGAAATTCAAGGGAGAGGAAACTAAAATCACATTTTGAAATGTAACGATGCCAAACACCATGCCAATAGAAATTCAAGGGAGGAAACTAAAATCAAAGTAACCTAACTATTTCACTAATAACTTAAGGGAGGTAACGAGAATACAGAGATTCCAAACTTTGTAAAGCGGAACTTCAAGAATCAGATTTTGAGATAGTCTAGCAGGATGTTGAATCACTTTTTGAGATACAAAGATACCAGACTATGACAATTTGGAACCTTAATTTCTTTGATTTAATTCAATTGATTGATAACCTTCTTTTCTCACTCATTATGATATATCAGGTTACTTTTAGTATAATGCCTATGATTTCACCTTATGCTTCAATTATAAAGCCATCGTCTGCTTCTAGCAACCAAAATTGTTTTATTGTTTGCTCAATACGTCGTATTGAAATTTCACGCTTTAATGACTCGCTTGAATTCATGAAAGCAACTTCAAGAACGCGCGGTAACGCTCCCACTGTAACAATGAAAATAACGTGCATGACGTCAGATATTTCTGAAGTCGCACCTGTCGCAAATTTTGAAGTTATACTCATTGTAATAATGACTAAGCATATGACAAAAACAAGTTGAAAAAATATCTTCAGAACTTGTATATGCACTGGTCTGTGCACTTTAACGAGAACATCGAACAAACGTTTTGGAATCCCAAAAATACTATCCTTCTCAACAATTCGTTTTACACTGTTGCCCTTATTAAATCTTTGTAAAACATTTTGGGGAATATCAAGTCTCTGATCGTTGACACGAATTCCTCGGATCTCATGTACTTGAACGTTTGTCAAAAGTAACTCGCCATTAAATACAGACATATGATTAATTTGACCATACAAATCGTTTGATTTTTCAACTGCAATCGACAGCAACTCTAAGTATCCATCGCTGAAATCTTTGACCAAACGGACCATATAGTAGAGCAAAACCACAAAGAAAAACAGATAACCGAACGCCACAGAAGGGTAAACAATTACTGCAACAAAACAGAAAATTATAATCTGAGAAATGAATGAAAAACTTTCTATAAAAATCAAACACACGGAATAAATGAAAAACAGAAACATCGCAATAACAGTGATAGTTCCAAACATGATAGATAATGGGTTTCTGAATATGAATGAAACATGTCTGCTCCGGACTCGACTCATAAAGAATGATTTGACAGCCCCTTTAACCATTATTGTAACTAAACCAAATACCGGTAACGCATAGAAAACTATACATAAAATGATTTCCAGAAAGCAAAACAATAGATAAAATGGGAAAACGATAACCTTCAAAGAACATATTAGTCTTGAAGTATTAAACGGAATCGTGCAAAATCGTTCTTTTTGAATTTCAAGAACTCTTTCCCAGAACATTGTGTTGAAGAGCATGTATATGCTGCATTTGCAGGCAAGGGCAGCATTTTTATACCCCGGCTCAGTTGTTTCCGAAAGCATTGATAATTTGATGATCTCGTCTACATGAAGGAAGAACGGAGATGGTATATTACTATCTGGCATTCCTCGTTCTACAATTTGCTTGAGGCTACGAGGAAATACGAGAAAGACCAGTGCCAAAATGTAATACATGATCAGAAGACACACTGGTCCTCCAAACAGTGGTGCAAATACTTTAATCCGATCTTTTCTATCTGCAAGAAGGGAAAGAAATCCCATCGGCATTCCAAAATTTACTAACTCATTAACAGTTATTTTAGCTTCGGCTGTTCCAATACCGTGAGAATACATAACAATTTGTATGAAAACGACGCATGGAGCCAGCAAAATGCAAATAACCCGCCGAATTCTTGATACCAAAACTGGGTGGTTACGATTCATACCACAAAACAGAAAGCTGAATGATTCTAACATAGTTAGAGGTGGATTTCCATTCAGGTAAACCCAGTCCTTTTCGTCGTTGTCTAGTGGTTCATACCCGTCCTGCATTTCATTTGTCAACTCCACATTGTGTTGAATAATGTGTTCATCTTTAGATAGCCATGCGCAAACATCAAGCAGGAGAATAGGAAAGTACATAAAAATTATAATTCCGAGAATATATGGCCCTAGCTTGCATTGTTCCCATTTACTCGGTTGTTCATTTGTGCAATTCTGTATATAACTTTCTTCGAAGTAGCTGTACCACAGTACACAACAGTTATAGTTCAAGAAGGAAATTGGATAAAGTAAATATAGTGCCGCATAATATTCCATTCTCTCTCGGATACCTGGAGCCTCTGCCAAATAGCAGAAGTAACTTTCCTCATACCTGTGATAATCTTCATTCGACATATTCGTAATAAGACCAGACAAGGCTTTAACAATTCCGTATGTAGTACCAAAAGTCCCAAAGTTAACATCACATTTGTTCTCTACTATGAGTTTTACAAACGGAATAACAACGGTTTTTACGTCCAATAGCGAAAAAGAAAGAAGTCCGTGATCGATGTTCCATGCTAAATACGGATAACTCACCGTAGGTGAGGAGTAAGTCCACACCCAATGAAGTGGACGAAAAATGCCTGGGGTCGAGTTGTACGTATAGTTGCCAAGTTCCAGTGTAAAATGCATAAAATTTGGTTTTAATGCAATGAGTCTGCTTTCATAGAAGTTTTTACTTTGTTCCCATACCTTAAAGGAGCAGTTTGTGGTGGCGTTTTGTTGGTCGTATGCATCTAGTTCAGATGCTTTAACTGTAATATGTGTAACACATGAGACCATGACACCCAGCATTAATATAGACATTTCCATGATGTTTCAATCTCCAATGAACATATTAGCGCTGAAATATAAATAAAAATGGATTTAGAATTGGAATATATCGAGATTAATGAAATAAAAAATTTAATACACACAGAACTGTGACCTTTTTATACATGTACATGTATATGCAATAGTATAACCAGTAACTGAAGATAACGTGAGATCGACCATGTATATACATTAAATAACCGAGTGACGTTTGCTAATATGGAGATAGGGGTAGGGGAATTTAAGGGGGAACATATAACGCTGAAGACAACATAAAGAAACACGGCATGCTGACAAATAAATGCCTGTAGGTAGCGAATTAATAAAAGGCAAACGAGATAAAAAGAAATATTGGACATTGCACTAACTCACAACTAGAGAAATAACCGCTCAAAATATAAACAAACAATATTTAAATGTATCACTGATGTACTCCGTAACGATAAACTACTGCTAAATAAAAAAACTCTATCCTCACATATGTATATTTTATATTTATGTCTAGGCGTTTATCAAAATAATACAATTCTAGTAAAAAATTTACATCAATAAACAAAGCAATACTGAATTAAGGTCGGAAGTGACGTAACAATTTAGCGTCAGCAGCCTCATGACCGAAACTTAAATAAAAAAATGCATGAATGACAAAAGTCTTTTTTTTTTTAATTAAAAACATTAAAAGAAATACTGGTTGACAACGCCTCCTGGCAGAAGCAGAACTATTCAATAGTTTAAAAAGATTAATGCGCACAAAATAACAGAATACGTAAATAGCAAAATTTACAAGGGGGATTAATGTTCACGGATTACTGCCATCAACACCATACAGTGACACAGTCCAGAAATAATTGGTTCCGTACCTACAACGGCCACGATCATGTTTCCTCATATTGCAACTGAACTTCGAAACAGTCGACTCGTGAATGACTCAAATAAGCTTCATCTTTTCACCACAATCGAGCTATAGATACATTTAAAACTAAGGTTTAATCACTTGTTTAGTGACGTTTTAAGATGTTTAGTTTGTCAGTTTCGTTTCATGTGTTACACATAATTACCGTCTACGATAAACATTTAACTTTAATGATTAAGTTAGGATAACGTACGGGACCGCCATGGAACAGCCGGCAACAAACCCAATTGTTTTCATAAGATGAGACAATGTAAATAAAAATTCTCTGTCAAGCGAAATTCAAACAATTGTCAAGGTTACAGAAGAAGAATTAAGTAAAACCCAGAGATGATCATGTAAATACATACAAAAAGATAACACAATTAATGAACATAAAAGTACCTTGAGTAATCCATAATCGCTCAACAAAGCAAGAAAATAGGCGAAGAAGAAACAATTCAGATCAAATGTCTTTAAGAATTGTCTATCATACACAGTTCGCAAAGGTCCCTCAAAGGTATTAGTATTGAAAAGAGTAAAGCGTAGCGTCCGACTGTAAAACATGGGAACACAACCATTTGTATGCCCCATTTGTATGCTGATATCCTGAGAGAATTAAAACATCGCCTCTCTAATTCATGATTTGATAGTATTGTAGATGCTCTAAATTTATCAAATGAAAAGAAAAAACATTCACCAATTAAATGCAGTCCCCGCCCCTAACAGAACCCACCAAGGGCACATCACAAACAAAAAATGGCGGGTCATTCATATATAACTTTAAAACATTTAAAACCAAGATGCGTTATTTAAATACTTGATATACGAATATATCTTTATCATTGCCTTTGTTTGTCTTCAGGTTTCAGAAATTATTTTCTATTGCAAATGATCCAACATTTAGCAAATTCTGTAAGATAAGCAGTTTATTAACTTAGTTTTTTTATAATAAAGTATTAAAATACCTGAAATATGGTGTTACGTATTTACTCCTGCATTTTGAGTATTTTCCAATGTAATACAATGAAACATTTTCCAATGTAAAACAAATAAAGATTATCGATTTCAATCATATATCGTGAGCGATTTACGCAGTTATATATATGCGGAGATTTGCCAAACAGGAAGAAAATACCTTCCTCACTTGGGTTATAAAAACAAACTTATATAATATCCGAAGTCATTCACGACGCGGAAGATAAATGTATTAAATTTATGTTACATTGAAAAAAAGTTGTGCGTTATAGATATTCAGTCAGACCAAAGATAATGCAATAAGTATTAGCGTAACACCAGTGTTTTCAGTTGTTAGTATGTTAAATAATCATTATAGCCCCAGTTGCCCCAATTTCAACATGTTGAGTGACTGCGTAGGTTCCTGTATTCCAACTAATTGCACTACGCGTTGAGATATTGCGCTATTTTGTGTATGGGCATTATCTCCCCTATAAAAGCGAAATTCTGACATACTCAGAATATATCTTTTGTCTATATATAGGTTCCTGATGCTCAATGAATTTTCAATGAGAAAATGCTATATTTCTGATCTTTGGAGGCAACCACAATATTGTTGTTGTGTTTGTGGCACTGTTGATTATTAAGAGTCTAACTTTGTACTATGAGTTATTTTGATATTTCTAAATGAATATGTACTTATTTATAATCATTATGATATATTTTGTTATACCTCAAATTTACGTTTCTTTTGAATTTCTACTTTTTCCTAGTCGAAGACTTAAATTTTTTTTTGGCTGTTTACATTCTTTTTAAAGTTATGTTAGTTTTGTAAATAATGAAATAAAGAAATGACACAAAAATTTATGATGAAGATGAAATTTAATTAATAACTGTCATGTTAAATGCCTGTTTGTTTTTTTAAGCAGTGTTAAAATTACATAAATAAACGTTATTGGTTCAATTATAGTTGTTTCAGTCAATATCCGCATCATGACGGATTACACCATGCTTTAATTGAGAAACATGCAAATCTGAATAGGTATATTTGTAAAGTATGTATGATCGAAAGTGGTTAGTAACTATGTAATTATGTCATTTAGAAAGAAGATGGTCATCATTATGATGACGAAAAGGAAGAAGAATAAGAAAAGCGGATGAAGAAATAAAAGAAGAAGGAAGAGATATGTAGCAGGCAAATTACATAAAGTAAGAGATCAAAAGAAAAGACAATAACAAAAGAAAGTAAAATAGAAGGGAATTGTTGCATCTTTGTTTTTCTCGAATCCAAAGTTTGACACAATTAACAATCGGTACCTAGTACTGCAAATAATGTTTAACGTGGTTTCCTGCTATTAAGGCTGGAGTGTATCGGTGGCTGCATCCTGTGAACGTTGTCTTTGCCTCGTTGATCTTTGTTCTCGTTTTTTAACACCTTGCTAGTATATAACTTAAATTCTTCTATTAAAGGTCTTTTTTATTATAGTGTCACCCCTACTGAAAGGGCCAGCCATTTCTGACTTATGAGACACCTTTTGCTTGCATACCATGTACCCAAACTCCTACCAATAGGCCAGGCGCCAGGCGGATAGAAATCGGTAATCATTCATTTCATATATTTAAATATTCTATATTTGAAACAACAATTGCCCTAGGAAAAAGCAAAAAGGGAAAGGCCACTACATATTTTAGTCTGTGTGTCTTTAAATTTACTTCTATTTTCTAGTTTCTAACACATTAAACAGATATTCAAACATGGCATTCAAGTCGTGCTTCAAGTATACATAACCTTTTGTTTAAAAATGTAAAAAATAATTAACAATAACTGAACATTTTAAAAAATCACTCAAGCTAGTGTATGCATAGTTACTTATCATACAATATTGCTAATATCGGAAAGGTTGAAAATGTAACTGACTGAGTTTAATTGAGTCTGTTCGTGGACGGCAGTAATAAATGCAATTAAGCTACCGTCAGCATCCTCCCCCTACACCCCTAGCACCGGCTTAGGCAGAACTCTAAATTCAGACATGAAAATGGATATTAATTTAGGATTTTGAAACATCCGCGAAGTGTTTATACTTAAATGATTATGAAACCTTCAAAATTACATGACATTCCATGAGCAGGTCCCTGGATAAAAGAATACATAAAGTATGATATATGCAGTGTACAGAACGTAAAGTCTTTCTGGAAAAAATACGTACCATACATTCTCCTGTTAGTTATGCTGTTCAATTTAAGAATAGTTTATATTGGAAAATTAGGCGAATTTATTAGGCTTCAACTCTTGTAAACAGATATATTTACAACACTGTAATGTAACGGCCCTTTTTTTTTTTTAATGTTTATCTATCTTTCTAATGTCAAACCCCTCGCGGGGACGTAGGTCTACATGTCTGCGCGTCAAAATCGCAAGACATTTAAAAAGAGTTGTTTAAAAGAGGATGAAAAAAGAATATGAAAAATGTTAAAAACAGAGGGGCTGGAAAACAAGGGTTAGACATGTTCAATGCAAGTTATATGGCTGCACTATTTTTACAAAAGCGGTTCTATGAAGCACTATGAAAAATAGAAGGCGACTATGAATGGAACACGTCATTTTTAAGAAATAGCCTACGTTTTCATCGGATGACAAATAAAGCTGGACACTAAATAGAAATAAGGGCTATATCACTAATATACGTATATTTTGTGGTTTTAGTAAATTAGCGGTGTTCAACTGAAATACATAATTTTCACGAAACAAAAAAAAAATGCTAGAACCCGGAAGCAGGAAGTGTTTTCTTTATAATTTTTGTAAGTTTGTTTGCAAAGATTATCCTTTTCTGCATGTTTACACTTTGATGAAAGTTATCGACCAGTGTTCTTTTTGTAAGTTCAATACAAAACTCTATTGCAAAAACATGCTTGCAAACGTCTTCTTACAACAGGACGCCAACTAAAAATAAATTTAACACTGTCACTGTCATTGATGTGTTTTGAGACAACAAAACCTTTCGCGATTAGAAACTGCTTCATAATCATGTCTCTCCATGTTACATTCATAACAATAATGACTGTAATCTTCGAGATCAAAATTAACATTAGCTTTAACAGGCTGGTGAAAACAGACTGATGTTCTCATCATGGAATTCGCCAAGGCCTTCGACAAAGTATGTCACAGCCTTTTATCCCACAAACTAGAGCACTACGGCATCAGAGGCAAGACCAACCTGTGGATTCAGGCTTTCTTAAGCAACAGATCCCAATCTGTAGTCTTGGAAGGGGTAACCTCAGATACAGTGTCTGTAGAATCTGGCGTCCCACAGGGCTCAGTCCTTGGCCCGAGTCTGTTCCTTTTCTACATAAATGACATCTCAGAGGGTCTCAACGCAGTCGTCCGACTATTTGCAGATGATATGCTGGCCTACCTTGCCATCACAAACAAGTCTGACTGTTCCACCCTACAAGCTGACCTCGACAAACTAGCTGTCTGGGAGAGAAATTTTATGGAAAATGTCATTCCACCCAGACAAATGCCAAGTCCTCACCATCTCCAAGAAAAAAAGCCCCATCTGCCACAACTACACTCTTCACGGTCATACTCTAGAGCACGTCACATCAGCTAAATACCTTGGATGCACCCTGAATAACAACCTAGACTGGGGCCAACATATAAATAACATCTGTAACAAAGCCAACCGTACCACCAGCTTCCTGCGAAGAAACCTTAACATCGCCTCTACTTCCACCAAAGAAACGGCCTACAAAGCTCTAGTCCGCCCCACAGTGGAGTATGCACTGTCTGGGACCCCCACTAGAAGGGAGACATACACCGTCTAGACATGGTCCAACGACGTGCTGCAAGGTATGTTAAAAACAAGTACCACAACAGGTCCAAATTACTACAAGAATGTCGCAATGAGGCCAAACTGATCATGCTCTACAAAGTCATCAACAACAAGGTAGCTCTAGACAACTCATACCCTCCAACTCCACATCTACAAGAAATTCACACAACCTATCCTACAAGATTCCCTACTGCCGTACACAATACTGTCAACAATCCTTCTTCCCACGCACCATCAAAGACTAGAACAGCCTACCTCCGGATGCTACGTCAGCCGGTACAGTTGAGTCATTCCGTACTCATCTGTCCCAACTCTATATCTAAACCACACTCTTGTCCCTTTTTAACCTGCACTGTATATATTCCTCACTATTTTTACTCTTTCCGTCTTGCACATTAACCTGGCAGTAAACTTCAGTTAGTTGAAGGTGGCCAGTATATTGGAAGAAGAAGAAGGAAGAGGAACATTGTTACCCTGCCTCTAGATCAATACAAACAGGCAGAGGTTAAGATACAGCATTAGTTGACTTGTTGTGTTTTTACTTTTTAATCTTTCTTTCACCCTTACTAATAAAAACATTTTAACAATGACTAGAAGTTTTCAATGTCTCTCACTGCCCTGATCATGTCCATTTTCAGGTTTTCACTTTCTCTCATACCTTTCACTAACACACCCGACGAGCACTATTTCCTGCCTATAACACTCGCAAGAGGGGTTGGCAGTACTCAGAGATAGATAGATAAATGCCTGATCTGGCTTAAGACATAAAATATCATATATCTAGTAAAATAATTATAGTACTCCCCGAGGGTACGGCATCCTTGCCCATTCCTGTGCAATTAGAAAATGTGCTTCTTTACACATTGAATCCGACCAATTGAATGTTTCCACCATTAAAGTGAAAGTGGAAGTGCTGCTTTTTTGAATTTGGATAAAAAATGTTAGAAATATTTTCGTTTCAAATAAATTTCTGTCATTCACGAATTCGAAAACCTAGCTTAAACCTTTGAAAACCTTAAACGGTAAAATAATGATAGAAAAATAGAAATATCATGTAACTGTGTTATGTACTTCATTTGGTGTAATCCCCCGGAGCTAAATCTGTAACGTACTCTAAAACGGTGTTTAGCTAGGTTTTCGAAAAGGTCAATTGACAGGAAAATCCAAAGCTGCCCGAGTGTTTGAAAATACTTTTTTATTTTATCCCAAAGTACTGCTTCTTTTAATTTGGATAAAAAATGTTAGAAATATTTCGTTTCAAATAAATTTCTGTCATTGATAGGAAAATCCAAAGCTGTCCGAGTGTTTGAAAATACTTTTTTATTTTATCCCATATTTACCAGTTAAATTGATAATTTCATGTTCTGACAAATGAAGGTCGTCCG